CTGCAGGATTTCTCAAACATGCATGAATGAGTCAAAGCAAGACTCTGGGCATGTTTTTGATGAGAGTGTAACATTATAACATGAGATAAAACTCAAATAATCTGATTTTACATGATATTGCCCCTTTAAGAAACGAAACATACTGGTTTCTATCATTGACATCTGAACTGGTTTCTGAATTAAGCAATCACTTCAAAGCTGATGAAGTGATATCTGGTTACCCATTTCCAGATATTCTTCAAACAGGCCCCCACACTGCACCAGCTTGTAGTCTTCCTCCCAGCGCTGAGGCTCGTGGGATTCTTTACCCCCCTGGACATTGGCAAAAGCTCTCTTCTGGCTCCACGCTTTTACTTTACTGAAGAAAGACGATAACAAACGTCATTATAAAGCAGTCATGAAAACAACGTCAAAATCCATCATTTGGATTGGAAACTGAGGACATAAAAGTAAAACAGAAAACCCTGCTGTAGCCACATACGGTAAAATAAACTCCTGGATGTTGTTGATGAGCTGCTTCCCCACCATGATGATGAAAAGCTGCTCAGCCAGTTCGATGAGACAACCACCAGGACCACACTGTAACAAGCAGGCACACAAATACGACTCAGATGAGCCATCTTACAAAAGAACAGCACAAACYTTTCACTTTTCTTTTCAATCCATTTCCAAAGCATGAACCAACAGACTTACATCTTCGTTTCTCATCCCAAACAACGTTCCGTAGTTCGAAGGATAACCCACAAACCTAATCGCGCAAAGAAGTGGACATTTTTGGTTATAATGGGATAATCGTTTTAAACATATGTTTCCTGGAAGTGAATTTTGTCTTACCTTCCTTTAAAGAAAGCCACATAGAAAGGAGACGAGTAAAAGTTAACAAACTGGAAGATGAAGACTTTGAAGGTGAAAGCGTTGTCGTACTGAGTTTGAGTTCTGTGCATCTCTGCAACACAAATACAAAGACAAAGGTAAGTCTTTACTTTTATTTTTTCCATCAGAAAGCATCAAGCGAGTGTGGTAATTAGCAGAATGAACAAAGCGATTTGACTAAAAGAATCGATTCATTTTAAAGGTTTACAGAACAGAACTGGTTCTTACCCCATTTTGTGAGCTGCTCAGCTAAGGCCGTGTAAACCTGCCCCATCAGCAGGATGAGGCCCAGGTTCACCACACTGCTGGAGATGTTGGCTATGGTCCCTGCCTGGGAACGAGCTCACAGTAAATGTTAACCACAGACAAACACAAATGCGCTTTCTATCATATTCTGTAACGATGTAGCATTATTTTCAATTTTCTAATGAAAATCATGACATATGACATGAAAAACCAAATTTAAATGTACACGTCTTCTGCGGTTGCAGATGTGTAATACCTCTGTTCGCAGCACAGGACTCCCAGTACGATACATCATCACGCTGATGATACCACGACACACGACGACAGTCACCAGGAAGATGATCACCACACACAGCTGAGAAGAACAAATGATAACGGTGAAAAAAAGACTTGAGGACAAATTTTTTTTTTTTAAAAATCGAAATGTTAGTGGTGACATCCAGTGTGGCTCATTTATTGAGCCATGAGAAGAGCAGCCCTCTGATCCAACTCCACATTGCTGTTAGAAAAATCCAGCTTCAACCTTTCCTTTGGGTAATCTTTTACAAGCAGTTTTGGTACTTTTGTGTCTCTTTTATTGGCTGAGCTTTTCCCTGACCTGAACACAAAGTAACTGCAGGGATAGTTAATAAGAGCGATCACTCCCTGCAGCAACTCCACACTTAAAGGAGACATATTGTGCTTTTAAATCCTTCAGTTGGGGTCTAAATAAAGTGGAACTGCAATGCTTTGGTTTGAATTCCTCCTTATTGTAACTCCACAATCCCCTCTTTCACCTCTTTTCTGAAGTGTGTCTCAGATCAACTCATTTTGAGGCTGTGTCTTTAAATCCAAACAAGGCACTTCAGACCAAACCYCTCCCCACCCACCCACACCCCAGCTTCCAGAGCGGTCCACTCTAGTTTGATAGAGGGGTTTATGACTATCTGGCAGACAGAAGTGCAGAAACCTTTTATTTACAAATGAATTAAAAAGTGTCAACAACAGAAGACTYGTCTGTCCAGCCTTACATGTTGGACTCAGAGCCAGAGGAGAATGAGGACCACCAAACTGTAGTTGGTAAGTTCAGACCTTATTTGACAGTTTTGTCGCAAATAATTTGATGTAATAGTTCAGAAAACGTAATAAAGAATTGACAAAACTGAAAGGGATGAAAAATATGACCCAAACAGAATATAAAGATATCTAAGCAGCACCGGGAGAAACTAAATTAAACTTCTCTGCACTCCTAGACACTCCAAATACACACAAAAAAGGCATTTAATGACTAGAAAAGTGGATTTTGCACATGTCCTCTTTAAGCATTTTCTTGAAATTATCTACAATGATTTCTTATTGTTCCTCTGTGATTCTCTGTGTCTCTTTCCCGTCCTCACAAACAGTCGAGACAGATGATCGCCTGTCTTGAGCCTGGTTCTGGTTCTGGTTCTGCTGGAGGTTTCTTCCTGTTAAAAGGGAGTTTCTCCTCTCCACTGTCACCAGTGTGCTGCTCAGGATGGGAGACTGTGATGAAGTGATTCAACACAATCTGCTGGCTTCTTTAGATTTATTGTTTTTTGTGTACAGTGACCTGAGACAAAATCTGTTGTGACTTGGCGCTATATAAACAAACTGTAGTGAATTGAATTTATATAAAAAAGTTTTATAAAACACATTGGTTTGCGTGTTTGAATGGTCGACATATTTTGTTTTATTCTATTTGCTGAAAACTAGCTTGAGCTCAAACTGAATCTTAAATTGGAGTGTAAATATCACATTACAGGCAGTGGCGGAGCCAGACATTTTTCCCAGGGGTGGGCAGACTGGGACCACTACTCACACAGGGGTGGTCAGCAAAATTACATGATGTTTTACTTGAAAGTTTCTGCAGATCTTTGTGTTTTGGTCATTTCCTTATGTCCTTATACAGGCAGTGACTACCTTATGAACATAGGCATCAGAACCATTTTAAAAGTAGGGGGGACACACTGTTGGGGGGGTCTGGGGGTCCTCACCCAGAAAATTTTGGATGAAATAGATGCCATTTCCTGCATTCTGGTGTATGTATTTTACCAGGTTGTTAAACATACTTTTACCTACTTAAATAAACACTTGATTTAATTATTTCAGAGACAGATTTTTCATTAAACTAGTTCCATCACCCTGTTTTTAAACTCACTGCTTTGGCTGAGATAAGATTAATTAATGTGTCACAATTAATCATATCAAATGACTTTAGGGGTGCCTTTTAATTTTATATTGTTTATTGATTTATTTTTAATTGTAACACATGCCATTGTGCCAAATAATGATGACCTTCAACTGCATGTTTAAAACTAACATTACAAATTTTACCCAATGAATTTAGTGAATTTAGAGCGGTGTTTCATTTTTTCTGATTTAGTGATAGGTCTACGCATAATAAACACAGAGCATCATGCAGCCTTCATAACATAATATGACACTGTTATGGTGACAAAAAAAATTGTCATCATAAGTCCAAAAGTTGACACCATAAGTCAGATTACAGGAATATGTTCTGTATATAAAGAAAGTCATCACTTCCTTGTCATTACTTTTCTTCAGCGATAGAGCTTGGTGATGTTTCAAACTATTAAACACTGCCTCCAACTGTTCAGGAGGATTATTACCCTAAATGTTGTTTCACTGTGGAAGGGGTGTRTWCAGCAGGGTGGCCAATGGGGTGGCCAAAGATTTGTCCATGGCCACCATAGACAAATCTATGGCCAATGGGGTGGCCAAAGATTTGTCTATGGTGGCCATGGCCACCCCTGGCCACCCCTGGCTCCGCCCCTGATTACAGGTGAAAGCAGGTTTAAATTAAAGAAATTTACCAACTTCAGTCTCTCAGGTGACGTTTTTTCAAATCTCTAACACCATCACTGTTGTCATTAGGAGGATGGAGGACATCGGATCCTCTTTTCTGTGTCCGTGAAGAAGTTACAGAGCCTGTCTAAAACGATCAGGTCATGTTTAACCCTGTGGGCACATGACCTGGATTCATTACCAGGAAAAGGTTTCAGTTCTCACCACAGTGTTTGTTTAGCAGAACGGACACCAGGTGTAAACCTGAGTCCTCTTTGTGTTGAAGGTTACAAAAGGAAAAGCTCAGAAGACACAAGACTCTTCATTAAAACTAACTAATGCAAAAACAAAAAACAAAAATAAAAGTTTAGGAAACGATGCAAAAGCAGCTGATGACACCATCATCACAGCTTTAAAGCTTTTATACTCATAACCCAACTTATAAAATTAACTTTTTGGCATTTTTTGATGAAATGCTGGTGTCTGGGTAAACTACAAGTACAAGACATGCTGTAAATCACAAAAAGTTTGATTTGAGTTCAGAGTGACATAACAGGAAACAAGATTTCATTTTGAAATGCTTCATTACAAATAATCATCTTTAAAAAGGCAATGACTCACCATCAATATGATGACCATGGAGCCAGTAAACATCCGGGACAGCCTCGTCTTCTCTGGAAAATAGGGTTCTTTGACCCCAGTTACAGGGTTCTGCTCCATCGTTGGGGCCATGGCAGCAAACTCTGGACGAGGACGCTCCTGAGAGAACACAGCAAGCTTCTTTTTAATGTTTTTAAATATGCAAAAATGTGWTTTTGCTGTAAATCTGCTGCATTTTATACACTCTCAATAAAAAGGATTAAATGATRTACAAAATTCAAAGTAACCCTTGAACTGGAGCCATTAGTGTTTGCTACTAAGTGCTTAAAACAATCTGCAATAAGTTTCCTTTGTGACTCCAGCACGTCCTTTGATCATTAAATACCAAAGAGTTCAAACACATTACATCCGTCTGCTGATGCTCATATTAAAGCAACAGGACCTCTTCCTCGTGGAAGTCCATGCAGTCCCAGTGATGAGCCAGAGTCGCCATCTTTCGCTTCCAGTACTCCAGAAAGGTTACGGCCCAGAAGGACATGAACACGCTGAAGAACACGGTACCTGGGTGGTCGAACAGGTACCCCAGCTGCAACACAGGAAGTTCAGCTCTTGAGCTTTCAGTTTGTTTGAAGCGAGCTGGTTTCTGTTTGAAAAGCTGGATGTTTGTTACCTTRGCCATGGTGCAGATGTCCGACATGTTCCAGGACTTACAGGTTTTACAGAGCGGGCACATCAGGTAATTAGCTCCACTGTTACAGATGTCCTCACTGTCGATTGACACACAAACATATAAATATGTAATATACTCAAGGGTGTAACTTTAGGTCTACCATTGGGTTGGGGATGGGGGTATGCTCTCTGTCTATTTTTTTTATTGAATAATTTGTATAATAATAATTTGTAATCATTTGTAAAATGATGAGAGCAGACTAAAACCCTGCATGTCATTTTCAGCAATTGTAAATGACATCGTAAATTTTGAAATCAAGTCAAAGTAACTTAAAGACAAGAGAGTTGCAGCTGTGTACTTACCCAAGTCATTTCTATTGTGTTAGAGCAAATAATGTAATTTTATTGGGGGGGTTACACTGACTGGATAAAATTATTGTGGGGGGCATAACCCCCCTAAACTCCACTTCAAATTACGCCCATGAATATACTCATAAATGTTACTCTGAGAACTAAAAATTTAGTAGATTGTTTATAAAAGATTTTTTCCTTGAACAGTTTCTTTGAAATATAGAAAAAATATGTTTAAATCTATCTGCACAGACTATAAATCTAGAGCTTGTTTTAGTTACAGAATGTTACTCTGAGAACTAAAAATTTAGTAGATTGTTTATAAAAGATTTTTTCCTTGAACAGTTTCTTTGAAATATAGAAAAAATATGTTTAAATCAATTTGCACAGACTATAAATCTAGAGCTTGTTTTAGTTACAGAATAAAATCTATTTTTACAAACTTGCACTTGGCTGTGTTCATCCTTATTTGTAAATAAGAGAAAAATAAATGTTTATTTTCCCAGAAACCATAGTATCCCATAGAGGAAAAGCAGTAATATAATTATTTTCTCTCTTTCTCAGAAGATCAATAATAATCTTATATCTGCACAAAATTTTCTGAACTGTTACGGCTCCATTCAGTCTGCAGGAACAAGTTTATCAAATCTCACCTAACTGCCTGAACAAAACTGGTGCTTATATGTAAAAACAGAGAAAATAACCTTGTATCGGGTAATTATTACAGCCTACCGATTCTCTATATTTTATATTTGTCTATTTTTAAGTTTGCAGACTCACGCTGGTGTGTTGGACCCCATGGACATGACTCCGGACACGAAGACCAGGGTTCCGACCACGGCTGCAGGCAGCAGCCAGGCTGTGTAGAAACCTGCAGGGACACAAAGCTCCATTAGACTGCAGCTCTCAGTTGTAGCGAGGGGAGAGGATGTGCCATTTACCCAGCTGCACTCATGTTTGATGCTGGAATGCTGCACATTTCAAGCTGGAGATAATAGATTTATTGTCTCAAATGTGTCCTCGTGTTTTGCACTGTCACTGTGTGCAGAACTTATCCATTTAGATTTAACGAGTTTCCGCATAAAACACTCACATCTGAAAAAAAGAACAATTTCTGTGGAATGTGGGTGTTTTTGAAACGATTTACCAAACAGTGTGGTGGAGCTGAAGGCTTGAATCATGTGTTTTACATCAAAATATGTTATGAAAGCTTACGTTCAGGGAATTAAACATTTACATTTTTCTACTAACTGTGATTTATTATGGTGTTTATAAAACAGCACTATACACTTTACTGTGCTTTGGGGAGTCAGTGTTACCTTCACAAAAAAATCCATAAATAAATAACCTAATCTAAAATGCAGGTAAAACATGTCAGATTTTTAAAAGAAAATTAAATCAATATGTAGAGAGACAAAAATAGTAAATAAAAACTAGCATCGTCCATACTAAGAAGGTAAGTAAAAGGTATTTTAACTGATGAAAACATTAAAGTGCTTGTGACATGCCTATCCTTCAAAYACAAAAAGTCAAAGAAAATATCTTCATATTTAGGAAAATTGTCATAAAACATATGATTTAACCCATTTTGTCTCATAACTGGCATATTTTCCTTTGAATTTGGCTTAGCTAAAGTGAAACAGGAAGTGACATCAAAGRGGAACTCTTTAAGAAAGACAACACTCTGGTCTTTGTTTGTTAAAACTATATTATTTGAACTCTGACTCTTCTTCGGACTAAAATCATCTAAAGAAACATCAGAAAATTCCCTGCTGGCTGAGTTGTTAGCCATTGTAGCAATGCTCTGTTTACATGCAGACATTCCCCTTTGACATCACTTMCTGTTACTTCACATAYAAATATCTCAACAACTGTTCATCTCAGTGGTGTGAAATTGCTTTTGCAATATGTTATCCTTGTTATCTTTCYAAAAGTGCAATCACGTTTATCAYAAAAATTTGATGTCAAAGGCACTTTAAAATAGAGAGGAAACCTGGGAACTTATTTTGAGTAGAGTATTGTGTATTTGTCTCTGCATAACATCYACTGAACTGATTTATTTATTTGAAAGCAGAAAGAATAAATAATCTCCAAACAATTGTTTTGGTTCTGACCAGAAAATAAAAGTAAGTAAAYAGKAAGTGTACCCAGCCAGGCAAAGTARAGCGCAATCTTCTCTCCAAAGTACTCCCTGATGTGGTCCAGTGGTTGGTACTTGCACCACTTCCACCAGCGGGCCCAGTAGTAGTACAGAACCTGCCTCTGGTTCAGCTCGTCAGGACGGATCTCGTAACTCGGAAGCTGAAAGGGGCCCTGCGGAAAACCAAACACGGTYAGAGGAGGAAACGATGGAGACRAAAGTGCAGATAATAATACTTCACCTCGTGCAGAGGGTAGGCTGCTGTGTAGGCGCCTTCATTTACCAATCTCTCCACACCAACCTCAGCCTTCTTCCTTTTACCGTAAACCGTCTGAGCTAAAATCTCATACACCTGAAAGAAAACCCAAACACTGTCAGCTCTGTGAGAAAACAAAACAAAACAGTGAASTGTTACGTTGGTCTTACTTACGATACGGTGTCTCTGCGTGTTTGTGAAGTACGCCTCATGGTCTTCAAAGCCAAGAAATCTGAAGAGAGCGAACTTTCTTTAAAAAATATATTTTCACGACACGATCCCACTGTTCACTAAAGTTCACCTGAGCTCACCTGCTCATCTTGGATTTGCGAAAGGCACATGTGTAATAGTCCAAAGGCCTGTTTGGCACAGATTCCATCATTATGTTGGGTATGCACAGTCTTTTTAAAAYCACAGCTGATGTGTTCAGGTTCAGATGTTGCTGGGCCTGAGAGCCAACAAACAATAAAAACTCAAAATGAACAACTATTTTTTTCAATTCCTTTTTGCGAACACAATTTTATTTTGATGAAATGCATTTTTTAAAACGAAAAATAAAGTAATTTTGATATTTAGAAGTCACATAGTTTATGTAATTTACTGTATATATGCCTAAAAAATGGGGGTTTCTTATGCTTTAAATCCATTCAATATATTATTCTGTAAATGTTTCTGTGGGTATACATATGACTAAAAAGATTAACTTTTGTGAGAGAAAAGCTAAATGAAATCTAAACATTTTATTATTATTATTCTAACATAAAATATTTAAAATGTTTACTGTTTTCAGAATTTTCTTTTCTCTTAGAACCCTAAAATATATAGTTGTTTTTTGTATTTCTAGTTATCTCCCTGYGACCATGAAAGGAAGCAAGTAGAAGATAATGGATGGATGGATCTATTGACCAAAAATGCTTTTTAGATATAATAACAAATTGGGATAAATACTGTTTTACAAAAAGGTCAAGAATTTGCCTTAAAAATGCCATAAAGRGCACAACAGTGAATAACTAAATCAGTGCATTTACTGTATTAAGCCTTTACTKCCCCCTAGAGGACATATTTTCAGACAGAGGTCCAAACGTCGTTGCAGCATCACTGACCTGCAGTGGAGCTCTGAGGGAAAGCTCTTCAGCATAACACACCAAAACATCCCACGGGGCACTGATTTTAAGGAAGTGAATTGTTTTCTTCTCATTTGCTGTTTCCTCCTAAAGAAAACAGAGACAACAGAAATGTTTTTTTATTTTTGACTAACAAGTCGAGAATTATTTCAACGTTTAAAAATCTTTATCAGGAATAAAGTGTGGAACCTTTTCCATGAGCAACCCGGCACTTTCCAGATTCTGAACAAACTTCTCTCTCCACTGAGCAAGTTGTGCTTTCCTTCGCTCGGATCTGCTGCTCTCCTCAGCGGGAAYGGACTTGTCCTCCCCGCCGACCGCCTGGCTTTTCCCCTTTCCTCGCCGCTTCCTCCTCGATCGGACCTCCCACACCAGCACGAAGTCTGAACTCAGAGTGAAAGAATAAAAGATTCAACAAAGAACTGTTTTGTTTTTGTTTCTTTTTACACATACAGGAGACCTCAGGGCCGGCCCATAGGCAGTATAGACATACGCTAAGGGATCCGTACATCTAGGGGGTACCACAAATATTAGACATAACTTTAATCAGGTTATAGTTGATTTAGTCTGTAGAATAATCAMTGGTTATTCAAGCRTTTSAAAGTAACTTGTTCTGTGTGTTTATCATCCTGCTTTGTTTCTACATGAGGTGTTTAAGATGCAGAGAATATTTCATGATAAAACCAGGTTGGTATGTCTGCAGACAAAGTAGGTGTTTCCAAAGGAAGGTGTTTTTCAAGGGCCACACCTGATTTGACGAGCAAAAATCTGTGTTACTCAAGGACCACACCTGATTGGAGGAGCAAAATTAAGCGCAACATGATTGGATGAGCATGTCATTGTAGGCATTTCACAAGGACCACACCTGATTGGATGAAGGTCATGTAGGCATTTTGTTATTGGATAAATATTAACCTCTGTCAAAAGACTTATTTTCTTTGATATCCCCAGCTTACTTCTCTAGCATCGGATTTTCATTTATTTAGTTAGTTTTACGAGCTTGCTACGAGGGTATCAAAAGACTGGTTGGATTACTGTTAAGGCCAGGGTTAGGGTTTGCCAATCAGTGTTTACACTGTAGAAATGCCCACTCTGAGATAACCGCCTCTCGATAAAACTATAATAGTCAAGACTAACTACTGGTGCTCAGTGTGTAAATAGAAAACAAAATTAGGAGAATGGAAGTTTCAGTTCTGATCTCAGATAAAGTTCAGGTTAAAGTCTGGTTTTCAGGGTTCTCCCTTCATAAAATACTGATTTTATGTTGTTTTATTAAACCCAAGAATTTGGTCAAATGTTCTTCAAATCAGAGTTTTGAGTAGATCTTTTACTAAATTTTCCAGGAACGTAAACCCCTGGAC